ACAGACGCGCGGGAGCTGGATTCGTTCATGTTCGGCAAATCTCACCCGAACTAAGTCGCCTCTTCCGTGAACTTTCACCGTGGCCCCAAGGCTTGCGACCTTGTGATCTCGCTTTACGGCGGGTGGGCGAAATCAGTTGAGGTCACCCACCGCGCCCGCCACTCCAAGGCCGCGCCTGGGAGGTCGCGCGGGGGGCGCCCCCCCCACTTGCCAGTCATCGACGGCGCGCCGCGCGCCGCCGACGATAAACGCCTATCCCTGAGACAGGGCAGACAATTGTTGGGGTTGGCGCTTGCACAACCGACAGCAGCACCTCAAGGCGGCGGCACAGGCGCAGTAGCGAGGGGCAACCGCGCATGCAGTTTCCTGCAGCAGGCCAGCTTTGCAACGACGTGCACGGGAGACTTGCAGGCCGCTTGTCGCAGGGGGCGCGTGCGACTGGAAGGTGGCAGCACGTCTTGAATCATTCGCAGCCCGCCGAGGCTGCGGAGTTCGACGTTGACCACCAGCAGTTGAAGAAGGAACCCCAAAAGAATCAGATGCGCGCAGACGCGCGCACGTGGCTGAATGTCGGAAGCGGGCAGAGACGGCACCAGCCACTGGGATGTCGCATCGGTCGCGACGATCCTGGCGCGGCGCCCGACCTCGCCGTCACCGGCGCAGTGCGAGCCCCCGCGATGCGCAGGTGGATGGAGTTGCAGTTGGCGCCGAGGGCCACGAGGATACTTCCAATGACACCAGAGGGCGCGTCGAAGCAAAGCCTCCGCCGCCGCGAACAACGGCCGAGCGGAGACGCGCCCTGGGCAGGGCGCAGGCCACTGCGGCCTTGGTCACCGACCGCGCCAGCGTGAAAGATTTGGTCCACCCACCAAATGAGGCGATTCAGAGATGCGCGCATCTGGTCTGCACGCGCACAGTCCAATATATGCAGGCCACACTAAGTCCCCCTTACCATTGGAGCACTGTTGCCGGGGAAAGGGGGCGCAGGTGATCGGGCCATTGGACTGCCCCTGCATCTTGCGAGGGGTGGTCGCGCGGGGTCGCGCGCGAGACAGCAGGCGGATGAATGCGAGGCGCACTGGGATGCAGCCATCAGGGGCGACGCAACTGCGCGGGGCGCTTTCACACGGTCGATCGTCGAAGTCTTGGCAGCGCGGTTGCAGGCTCATCGCGGCTCATCACGGTCGGGGCAACTGGCTCAAGCCGCGCTCCGGCGGGGCTTCTCCGCTGAAGTGGTCGGGCTGGACTGCAGCAGCGCATGGCGGCGAGGTGTCTACGAAAGCGCGGCGCGCATCCCGTGCCTTTCGGTCCATGGCCATCGGCCGCGCAGGGCCCGAGCGCCAGCGCGCCCTTCGCCGAGCGCGACGCGCGCCACATCGTGTCGATGCTGGCCGCGGCGCACGCGGGCGTGACTCGGCGGCCGCGGCTAGTCGACCTTCGCCAGTCGGTCAAGGGGTCGCAGCAATTGGCGAGAACGCAACTGGGCAGGCGCCTGGCTGACACATGTTAGGTGCGCAGGGAGACGGCCCGGCCATCTCGCGCCAGAGCTCCGGGGCGCGCGCGAAGTTCCAAGACGGCAATGCCGTCGCACGGCGGGCGCGCGCGAGACGTTGTTCTACGCGCGGAATACCTCGGAGGCAACCTTTGAGTTGGACGGAGCCAGGCTCGCGCGTGCCTGTCTCAGCGGGCATGCGCACATGGGATCATACCTCGGCGAGATGTCGCTCGCCTGCTAATTTAAAGCAGCAAGGCGCCCTGGCCGGCGGTGCTGACGAGAGCTCGCTTCGCAGACTCCTTGGCCAGTCCACGCTGCACCTCAGCGAGGACACCGGTAATGATTCTCAGGGGGCTAGGATGTCAAATGACGCCTCGCCACTTTGAACGCCATGAAAGCCCCGTCCAAATCCCGCTGTCAAATTCCCGGTGGACCCAGCTCGCAAGTTTCCTCCGCGGGCTCTGAGGCCCCTGGCTGGTCTTCGCGCTGGGCCTCGGCGCCGCCGAAACGACACGGCATCAATCTGACGTGGCCCCAACTGTTCCAAGGGCTCCGGAGCGCCCCAGAAATTCAGAGGGCTCGTCAATGGGGCGGGCCGCTGGGCACAGCCATTGGCTACCTGCCGCAGCAAGGCAGGACTCCAGCTTCCCCTTCGAACTGGGCGGCGCCGAACGACAGGCGGCGAACGCAATCGGGGATTCTAAGCAAAGTCTCTCGCTGTTTGACTGGCCCTCGATATGCCCGCTGGCCTCTTTTGGCAAGCGCAATGCTTCAGTCGCACACGTTGGCGGGCCGAGGGCCAGGCGCGAAGCAAGATGCGAGCGGTCCTTGGCGCAGACGGCCTTGGACACATCTGAGGCAGGCCCCCGAGGGCAGGCGCCCTGCAAGCATTCGTCTCGCCGTAGCTGAGGGCCCCCCCCTGGCCGCGCACGCCGCGCCGCTGACGCGCGCCAGATGCAAACGCGCGCATCGGGCGGCGACGCATCGGCTTCGAGGGCGCCAGCATGATCGCCCAGCCAACTAATTGCCAGATGATCTCTTCACGATGGCATTCGCCCAAGGGGGGGGCCGAGCTTGTTTCTCGACGGTCTAGGTGCGAAGGATCACGCCCTCACGCTGGCCAGCTCTTGAAGCCCCTCAAGAACGCGGGAACTGTTTCACCGCGGTCTGCGGCTTCTGCGACGAGCACGTTGGCCCCGGCAGGGAGGGTCGGATCATTGTCGCGCTTGGCGACGCAAGCGGAGGAGCTTCGACGCAAGGGGCTGGGCTTGGCAATCTCGCCGCCTTGGTGATAAGGTGAATATGTCGCACTTCGGGGGGGCGCGCACCGTGGAGGACAGCAGACAACGGCCACTGCAGAACTACTAGCACTGTCTCTGACTTCTCGGGGCTGCGATGTTGCAGTGATATACGTCACGGACAACGCGGGCGCGCCCTCGGACTGGCATGGTCTCAGGCGCCAATCGGCCTCAGGCCGCGATGCCGAGGTGGAAGACAAGTTGCTCACGCAATGAACCTCCCTCAGCTGCACGCGCCCCTCATTTCTCCAGCTGAAGGACTTGGAGATCGCCCGAGGGCGCGCGCCGAGGCTGCTCGCTTTCGAAGAATAACCGGCGGACTCGTCCGCGGCTGCGGGCGCAGAAGTGGCGAGGTTCCCTGCTGCGGCTCGCACCAAGTTTCACTAGGTGGATCACGCGTAGTTTTTTTTGTTTTGCGATGAGGGTCCTCCGCAGCCGCATCGAGGCTCCGATGGCGGAGGAACTTGACGCGGTCAGATATTGTTGCAAGCGCGGGAAAAAAGGCTGCCAACGTCCGCCCTCCTGCTCCTGTTGTGCGCGCAACATTCCACTCTTAGCATCAATCCTGCGAGCTTGATCGTAGCAAGTGCTCCAAGTGCCAGTGGTCGACCAGCCAGGTTGACAAGACCGCGTGGCCCACGACGAAATACGCTTATAGTCCGATATTGTTGGCGGTTCGTCTTTGCAGCCTGGGCGCATATTGCGGGAAGTTGCGTTCACCAAAACCACGTTGTAAGATTTGCCGCGGGGTTGGGGGTCTGTTTCTTTACATCATGTGAACTTTTTGCGGTTCAGCATCTGTCTCAGCTTCCCCAGTATTCGGGATGTCTCCGACGAGTAAGATGCAATCGCAGCGATTACTCAGACCGTATTCATCATAACCTCTGGTCCAAAGCTTGCACCAAAGATGGGCTAGCCAAAAAGCCGGCCAAGAAGCAGACAGCAACTCTTCCAGGCCAGCCCACGTAGTCTCAATGTCCTCTGTTACCGACCGAGCCACTGTATCAACAACTCCAAACTCCTCATCCTCCTCATCGTCCTCCTTCTCCTCCCCCTCATCCTCGTCGTTTTCGTTTAAGGCACCTTGAGACAAGTGCTTCGGGTTTCACGTCAGGCGGGCAGTGTGCAAGACCTCCCGAAGACGGGGACTGGCTGCTCTACCAAACATCTGGGAGAGACGGGTGGCGAGGACCGCAGGGCTCCAAAGGGGGTTTTCGGGGAGGGGGTGTTCCAGGAGGCCCTCCAGGAGGAGGTGCTCGAGGTGAAGACTGGGTTCGGACGCCCCCTTCATCAGCGGGTCTGCCGGGCGCGTGACCTGCCAAGTATGGCCGAGCGCCAGTGCCTCTTTGGCGCCTCGCTCGTCGAGGACGGCAGCGCTGCCATCGGGGAAATGCCGAAACGCTCCAGCCCCCGCCCCCCCCCAAGTCCACCGCTTCCTGCGACGCATCTCGTCCCCCTCCACAATTATCAAACATGAATACTACTCTCCTCGTTCCCCTGACTCCGTCCAAAGAGTGTCCCGTCCTCTCCGCGCATGATTCTTTTGCACACAAAGTGTATCATTTGTTTTTTCCTGTGTTTTTGTCGATCCGGTCGTTTCCGGTTTTTCCTAAATGTGCTCCCACTGCAGCGCCGCCCTCATTTCCGCGCTCCAGTCATTGAAAGTCGTGCTCCCGCTGAAACGCTGACCTCGTTCCCGCGCCTCCGGTTGTTCCAAATCGTGATCCTGCAGCAGCACTGGCGTGTTCGGACCTTCCAAGTAAAGCTGTCGCTGTAGCGCTAGCCTCGTTCCCATGCTTCGGTCCTTCCAAATCGTGATCCTGCTGCAGCGGTGGCCATATTCCCGTTTTCGGTCCTGGCCTCGCTCCCGCACTCCAGTCCTTCAAAATCATGCTCCCGCCGCAGCGTTGGTCTCATTTCCGTCGGTCCTGGCCTCCGTCGGTCCCATGCCACAGCATGCAATGCAACGCAGTGTTGTGCACTGCTTTGCGATGTCATGCGTTGCGTTCCTCTGCCATGTCCATGTTTTTACATCCATCGCGTACCCTCTTGAGATCAATGCCCTGCTCGGCATCTGGCTGTGCGAATTGATAGGAGATCTACGCCATGGTAAGGGATGGGAGGGAGGGGCAGGACGTAAGATATGACGCTAGCGCACCTAGTTTGTCCCCCTCTCCAACTCCCTCCTCCCTCCTCTGGCCGCCGGCCTTCTTGCCCTCGCCCGTCACGAAGTAGATCTTGTCCTCCGCGGGGCGGCGGGATGGGCGGCCGCGCGGGGCGTCGCAAGTGCTGGGTGCTCATGCGGAAGCGAGCCTCCTTCCAGGAGGCAGCTGCTCGACGGTTGCCAGAGGCGTCCCTGGCCCGAGTTGTCCCCAGCGTCGCCCGCCATTTTGCAGCCTCTGGGGCCCCCTGGGCCTCAGAGGTGCTCTGGAGCCCGTCTCCCTGGGAATCCTGGGGACACCTTGAGCCAGGGACGCCTCTGGCAACACCCGAGCCACGAGGCGCCCGCGCGCTCAGCACTGTTCCGAACGGGGGCGCCAACGGAAGGCTCGCGCCGAGACGGCGTCGTCGCTGGCTCCGAGCGCCGCGCGGAGCGACCATCCTCGAGCGATGTCGCCCCTGAAATGGCTCGCTGCTCGGACCGATCATCCTCCAGCTGTCCCGGCCGACCACAGGCCACTGGCAGCGCTCGGCCTCGAACGCCCGCGCGGGGGTAACCGCTGCAATAACGCGGCGTGAACCAGCCGCACTCGGCAAACACATCCCATTCATCTACTCGCACGGGAAATTCCCCGACGGAAGACGTTCGCCTCTGCCACCGGCCCCCCGGAAGCGCGGCCATCTCGAAGGCCACGTCGGGGCCCCGATGATCCATCGAAGAGGCGATGGAGCCGCTGGAGAAGGGGTCGGAAACACCGGGGGCAATGCAAGGATCAGAAGTGGGAAGAAGCAGGCCTTGGCTGGCGCCAGGGTTCTGGAACATGGGTCCGCCTGGTGTGTGAGTGCGTGTGTGTGCGGTGGGCACTCGAGGATTGAGGACCAAAGGGGTTCAAGGATCGATTTTGGCCCATGCCTGTCCTTGTTCAACTTCGCGGGGATCCAACATCCTCTGGGGGCTGTGGAGAATCGGCTGCAGTCTACGCCTTCAGGTAGCTTGTGTTGCACGTGCGGCCATCGTGCCCACCGCTCGTGCGACCATCTTGCCCACCATGTTCATCCAGCCCCCTCCTTCTCCTCCCCCTGCCCTTCATCCTATTATTCCCAAGGCCTCCTCCTCATCTTCCTCTTCCTCATCCTCATCCTCCTCCATTCTGAGCAGGGCGTGCCGTCAACGCGGACGTTGCCCATTTTTTAAACCAGAAGTCGCTTGCCCAACAGCGACCGTAGTCGGATTGGGATAACATGTGCCGCTGGGCATCGGTCCCATGTTTCCGTACCCGTTCATGTGCTAATCGCCCTCGTCCCCCATTCCCACGCCCTATTTCTCCGCCTCATCCCCCCTTTGCCCTCCTCCATCCTCCTCTTTTTCCTTCTCCTCCTCCTCCACCCTTCCCATCCCCCGCCTCCTCCTCCTCCTCCTCCTCCTCCTCCTCCTCCTCCTCCTCCCCTTCCTCCTCCTCCTCCTCCTCCTCCTCCTCCTCCTCCTCCTCCTCCTCCTCCTCCTCCTCCCCCCACTCATCATCATCACCGGCATCATCATCATCAGCATCATCATCATCATCATCATCATCATCATCATCATCATCATCATCATCATCATCATCAGCATCATCATCATCATCGTCATCGTCATCGTCATCATCATCATCATCATCATCATCATCATCATCATCATCATCGTCATCATCATCATCAGCATTATCATCATCATCATCAGCATCATCATCATCATCATCATCATCATCATCAGCATCGTGCTCATCATCATCATCATCATCATCATCATCATCATCATCATCATCATCATCATCATGTCTGCCCCCCTCCTCTGAACGCCAGCAAACCCGTGACCCCGCAACGCCCCGTAGAATTCCCAGGCCCTCTCCCCAAGCCAAACGCCTCCTTAATCTCTCCCCCCCCTTCCCCCGCCCCCCCACCATCCACCGCGCCGCTGCCCCCCCCCTTTTCCAGGAGAGGGCGGGAGATGAGATGGAGGCGGCAGAGCGAGGGGGAAGAGGAGAACGGACGGGGAGGGGCGAGGAGGAAAGGGGCGACGAGAACGCGACAATTGCACACTGCGCAGCCTGCCAGGGAGCCGCGAGGTCTCAGATGGATCTGCGCTGCCCTCACCTCCGCTGGCCCTCCCAGGAGCTCACGACAGTGGCGACACTTGCACACTTCGCAATCTCCCAGGGAACCGCGAAGTTTCAAATGGATCTGCGCTGCCCTCACCTCCGCCTGGCCTCCTCGGAGTCCACGAAAGTGGCGCCAGTTGCAGTGTCCGCAGCCACCCAGGGAACAGCGAGGTCCCACATGGATCCGCGTGGCCCCGGACTTCGCTGGACCTCTAAGGAGCCAACGAAAGTGGCGATAATTGCGCAGTGCGCAGCCCCTGCCCCGGGTACGCCGGCACTGGGTGCCACCAAGGATCCAAGAACCCCGCTCGGAACTCCGAAGGATGATGTTTGCGCCGTGTGGTATTATCATGAATATCATTGTTATTCGAAGGTTGGCCTCCTTCCCCCCCTCTCTGGGCCTGGGCCTTTTTCTGTGTAGCAGTGCGGCCGCGCGGGCGCGCGCCTGTCCTGGCCCTCCTGCATGCGATCGAGGTACTCGGGCAGGCTGGTCATGTTGTCGCCGCTCTTAGAGGAGTAGAACCGCACGAAGCGCTTGAGCTCGTCCTCCAACACAGAACGGGGAGGAGGAGGAGGAGGAGGAGGAGGAGGAGGAGGAGGAGGAGGAGGAGGAGGGGGAGGAAGAGGACGGGGAGGAGGAAGAGGAGGAAGAGGAGGAAGAGGAGGAAGACGAGGAGAAAGAAGAGGATCGGCAACGAGCTCCGGGGGGCACTGACATGGGGCAGGCTTCTTCACAAGGCGGCAGGGCTTCTCAGAAGCCTTCTGAGAAGCCTCGCCGCCTTCTGAGAAGGTCTGACCTTTTTCGCTTCCACCTTGGGCGCGCCGCCGAGAAACGAAGGTTCCCCCGGCCAGGGAGAAAGGCGAGGACCGCGAGGAAAAAGGAAGAGGTGGGATGGGGGAGGACGGGGATGGTGGAGCGGCGGGGGGGGGGGGCGGTTTCTGGCCAAAGTAAACCTCGGCCGCGCAAGGGTTACCGGACATGGACCCAAGGAGCGGCGCGAAGACCAGAGCCCCCCCCCCCAGCACAAAACGGCCTGCATTTCAGCGCCTTGACTATAGGGAAATAGTGTGTCAGGAGGAGGGGGAGGAGGTCGAGCGTGCCCGAAGGGGTTCCTGTGTCCGCAGACTCTCAGAGAACACGCCGCCTGCGCAGCAGGTAATGAGTGACTGCATAATACACTATGGGGTTGAAGGTGTAGAAGACGAACCAGAAAACAAGGAAGCTGGGACCTGGTGCAGCAGCAGCGAAGCCCTAAGTAGACTCCACATGTCCTGTGTAGGTGTCGCCACCGACCGCAATTGCTTTCAGTCGACATCGGGCTCAGGAATCGAAGCAAAGGAGTCGGGTTCCGAAAGCCCACACAAATCAGCAAGAATCTGACCGTAAGTCTCCTCCATCTGCACCAAGGCCACTATGTCATCAAACTTGGAGTAGTCGACCGGCTTAGCGATCGGAACTACTTTTTTCGGTTGAGTGGATACCGCCAACTCAGGGCGAGCTTCCCCGTCGTCTGTGTCGCGGATACGGCCATGAGCATGAGACGAAAGACACAATCCTTTCGACAACACCGTCGCCCGTATTTGCACAATCTCACTGCCGATGAGGGAGGATGCAGAGAATGGAGCAGCCAGCCCTGGCGAACGCCCACGTGAAACATTCCCCGCACTGGGACGCTCGCTCGACGCGAGACGCCCCTCAGCACGAAACGAGTTGTCACCAACGGCAGCCTCTGAAGTCGAAACGTTGTCATCACTCTCACGCACGCGACCAGCAACACTCGAAATGATGTTGTTGTTTTTAAGTTGTTCACCATGGCCTCATCGATAGAGGAAACCATTTTCGACACCACCTGCTTGAGCTGGACCTCATCAGCAATCTTGGTGAGGCCAGGGGGAATGTCTTCCCATAGGTTCATATGCTGATTCATAAGACCATTCACAAACTCTCGAGCCTGATCTTGCCCCCCTGTCACTTCTGTATCCTTCCAGCGTAGACGGCGCCACGGTGGGGCGGAGGGCCTGGTGGCGTGCCTGGGAATGGTCCAGGATAGGTACAAGACTGTTAGACATTCCCAGACCGCTGGCGCCAAACGTTACGTCACCAGGGCTGTTGGTGTGGGCGGGCCCCGTGGCGGCCGCTGCGTCGAGAAATTCAAAACGCGCTCCTGCTTCCCCCTCTCCGTTGCTCTTCGAAGAAAGGTGAGACCAACAATTTTCTATCTCTGGCGCAGGTTTCCTGGATCGGCGCTGAACCGTTGCTGCCTCGGCGCACGGAGCGCGCCGGGGGCGGCGCTAGAGGCGGCGCCAGCGGGGTCCAGCGCCGATCCGGCACCCCTCCGCGGACCTCCGATTTCTTCTTCTGATTGCCTTTGGCTTGGGGCCCTTTTGGGGTGGCTCTTGGGCCGTCTTGGGGCGATCTTTGGGGCCTCTTTGGCCGTCTTGGAACGTCGGGAGCCAGAAAAAGTGAGAACGCTATACTCAAACGAACCGAGGACCATGAGTCGCTTTGGCATCTCGGGGCCCTCTTGGGGGGCAGCTCGGAGCCCTCTTGGCGCGTTGTGGAGGCCTCTTGGGCCGTCTTCGGACCATTGCCACGGAGCGCTCTTGGACCATCTTGGCGATCTTGCTCGAGCCGTCGCCTCGCAAGAGCTGTGGGGTGCGCCTGCAGGCCGGGTATCGTGTGGAGCAGCGGGCAGCGGCGCTCCTCCTCCGGGGCCCTGGGGAGCTGTGCTGAGATCCCCCCCGCTCTGCCGGTCCTCCTACTTCGCCTGCTTTCTTAGGCAGGCCGCAAAGCGAAAGCTCGTAGTGTTAGCATCGGCGGGCCAACGCCCGCCCGCCCCGTCGCGCTCGTAGTCGGGCAACACTCGCGAAAGGGCAACAAGGTGTTGCAGGAGGGGGGAGACGGCAGCCACAACTGCCTGCAGCAAGCCGATGGGCATGATGCGGCGTGCTTGGCCTGTTGCTTCTCTTCTCGGTGCGATCAACATCTTGGCGTGGCTTGGACGTGTGCACATTTCTCCGCGAGGGCCATCGAAGAGCCTTTTTGGCCATCTTGCAAGAACGTGCGCGCACCCAGCCGAAACATGCACCAGGAATGAACGTCCGAGCGATGGCGAGACATGGGCGCGGACACATGGGTGCGAACACCGACATCGTTTCCTATCCAATGTATTGAGCAGGGCGTGTCGTCAACGCGGACGTTGTTTATTTTTAGACCAGAAGTCGCTTGCCCAACAGCGGCCGCGGTCGGTTTTGAGCAACATGTGATGTTGGGCATCGGACCCATGTTTCCGTACCCGTTCGCGTGCGAATCTTCCTTGTTCCCCTTTCCCACGCCCTATTTCTCCGCCTCCTCCCCCCTCTGCCCTCCTCCATCCTTCTCCTCTCTTCCTCCTCCTCCTCTTCCTCCTCCTCCTGCGCTGCTTGCTCTTCCTCCTCTTCCTCTTCCTCTCCTCTCCTCCTTCTCCGCCTCCTCCTCTCCTACCTACCTACCTCTTCCTCCTCTTCCTCTTCCTCCTCCGCCTGCTGCTTGCTCTCCCTCCGCTCCTCAGGACTTCACTCTTCGAGGGTTCTTTATTATAAAAAAGGGGTGTCTCAGGAACCGAGAGGATTCGTTTTGTGCCCAAGGTCCGAAAACAGCATGTCAAAACACGTCCTAGTTCGAATGCCAGCGGGGTTGAACTGCGAAAGTATGGCGGTGCCATCACCTCCCTCATTGGTATTCCCCAGTTTCAGGGCGGGTCGAGACCCGTGTGAGTTCCACCTGCACTGCCAACCGCTGTGGGAAGCTGCATCTTTGATGCCACTCAGGGCCTATCTGTTTCTCAATTGTTAATGTCAGTGGGCACGTGTGATAGCACCCCACATCCTCCTTCTCCTCCTCCTCCCTCCTCCTCCTCCTCCTCCTCCTCCTCCTCCTGATCCTCCTCCCCTGTGGCGCAAGAAAGGCATCTTTTGGCTTGGGCTCAAGCGAGCCTCGGCATGTTCTGATCTGAATTCTGAGCTCTGCATTATTAGCGTTTCTTGTACATCTGTGTGTTATTCTTTCTCGTTTTGCAGACGATGGTGTAGATTTGGCTTGCGGTGAAGTACCCTGCATTGCCACTAGGGCGTTGGGGCTTATCACGGCTTTCTCTGGCAACCACTATGGTGGATTACGCAGTGCAGCGCATGGGAGTCAGCGCGGTCTTTCGACTCCTGTTCGCCGCCTACTTCAACATATCGGCACACTCATCAATTCCTTCGACATGTTTCGGATCCCTGGGAGGCAGAAATGTTTGAGCAGCTGGAGATCGAATTGCGCGCTGGCATTGCGGGCCCTCGTGGTCGAGTATGTGCACCGCGATGGCAACGACGTGCATGCCAGGCGCCCGACGGAGTTCACGATCATCCTCGTGGTGTGTCTTCTAGCCTTAGGCGGGATGTCCTTATGATCATATCGCGCCAGCTGGATTCTTCGGAGTGTGCACAGCCTCATGTTACCCCGCCTGTGTCTGAAGCGGTGTTATCAGTTCCTGCGGTGCTGGCGGCTGCTCAAGCTCAGTATGATTATCACTTGGATTTGTATCACGAACTCGCTGGGGCGCAGAATTCGTTGATTGCGAAGCTCCAGGGCACTTTGGAGGAGCAGGCGGGCGCTGCGCGGTCTTCTGCGACACGATGCGATGCGACCCGCATCCCAGCCCGTATGGGGCGGTCCTCTCAGAGGGCAGGCGTATGGGACACGCAGTCCCGGATACCGGGTGCATTGGAAGATGATGATCGGCAATGTGGAAAATATCACAGAGAGAGCTGCATTCAAACGGGCATGACAAATATGTTCAGAGGAGGAGAGAGTGAGACGGCGCGTGCTGGGCAGGCTCACACGGCTCAGCTGGGCTCACCTTTTTACAAGCCCTTCTTCGAGCGAGTTCCACAGAGTCTCTTGCGTGCCATGAATCGCCAATGTCATGTGAAAGCACGTATTCCCAGATGCCGTCGTCCCACCTTGTTTTCGGTCTGCCGGCCGAACGACAGGCAGCCTGACTGGCTTCGAATCGGCTCCCATTCCATTAATTTTGAGGCCCATCGATACTGATCCATACTTGCAACTCTGTACGCACGCTTCCAATTACGCCGTCTCTGTTATACACTGGACGCCTGCAACTGGTTTTCAGCAATTTGCGTCGCCCTCTTAACAAAATCCAGCAAGGATTCCATCCGCGTGGCCCTTGACGTGTCTGATGACACAGACAAGATTTCTGACATGAAGTTACTGTCAATGTCAGCGCGAACAAAGTCTGAAGAATGCACGTCAGGATGTTCCGGGGGGAGCACTTTCTGGCTCGTTCCCAGCATTGTTCTAAACAACCGAGCCCTATTACGAATTAGATATACTCCATGTTTGGGCTTCTCTCTGCCGGCACAAGAGAACCCGAGTGGCCTCCGATATGGCCGCAAGACGGCTCAGAGGGCTCCCGGAGGGCCCAAGATGGCCCAAGAGTATCTCCAGAAGGCCAAAGAGGCCACCATACCGTATGCAAGACGGCCCACGGAGGTTTCGATATGGCCTAAGAGACCCATAAGACAACCCTTGAGGCCCCAAAAGGCTCACAAAACGGCTCCAAGAGGTGTCCAGAGGACCCTGGATATCTCGATCCTCGATCGATGACGGCGGCGACGGCGACGAGCGGCGCGGGAGGAGGCCGGCAGTCGCAAGGGGCGTGAAGACTTCGGCGATTCCTGGACTCGTGGTGGATCTTCTGGGTATTCTCCGGACTCTTCAAAGAAAGTCCAAAATCCACCTCGCCAATGATTTTGATTTCTACCACGTTGGGCGTGTCTGCCATGGCTTACCTGTCTTCATCCCTGCACGTCGATTAGAGGAAGGTAAATTCAAGTGCACCGAAGAGGGGGGCCAAACGATCCAGGCACTCCCGGGAAGCCCTCGACGAGGCGTAGCTGTTGGGAGGCACCCCGGAGCGAGAAAACCTCGTAGAGCCAACGAACGTTTCCTCCCCCTCCCCCCTTCGACGGCGAAAGCGTTCTCATCCACACCGCTTCAGCGGGCGAAGAACAGTATACCATCAACTACCGGGCGATCGGGGACGCCTGTCCCCGTGCGGCTGTTGTATGCCCCGTCCGCGGAAAAAGTGTATTCTTCCGCTTCTCTTGGACACCACCGGGACTCAAGACCTTCGGCCGGCAGGGTGGCGAACCGGGTCCTTGTAGTCCAGGTCCTCCACGAGGCCGACCTGGGGGGTGGTGGGGAGCAGCGGGGGGAAGCGGGGAGCGCGGGCGGCAGCCAGTGGCCCTCCCACCGCTCCTGCCCCTCCTCGTCCAGGAGGGGAAAGAGAAGGGAGGGGAGGGGGGAAGAGGAAGAGGGGGAGAAGGAGAAGGACAGGAGGGGAAAAGGGGGAGGAGGGGGAGGGGGACACAACGACGAACACCTCAAGGGGCCCAAATGTGCGACACAGCTACCTCGCATATACAGCGGCTGCGATTTTCGAAGGCAGCCGTAGGACCAGCATACTGCCGAGACTTCGGGCATCCTGCAGCCCAGCTGGCCTACAGAGTTCGGTCAACCCCGATCATCCAACAACACAGCGAGCTAGCAGACAACGACGGACAACAAGCGGGGGGGCGTAGGGAGAAGGAGCGAAGCCAAAGCGGGGGTGAGCCCGAAGAACCAAGAGAGCGGGGAGGGGAAGCCAGGAGGCAAACACAACAGAGAACACTACAACGAGGTGATACACATGCCACAGCTGCCGCATTCGAGCGCGTCCAACAAAAAGATTTTTGGTAATCAGTACACGCCGCTTGCACTCGAGACACTCAAGCCCGCTCACCCTCGTGGAGACGTCCTGTCGCCACGAGTCCAGCATGCTGATTCCAGGATAAAACCCGGAACCATCCACAGACCCTTTGAACTCGACGCAGATCGCTTGGTAGGTCATCGCCTTCTCCATATCGCAAGTCAAGCCTGCGTCCAACACGATCATGGGCCAACTGAGATTATGCTCGTCCACGGTGGGGTGAGGGGTGAGACGCGGTATTGGTGTGGACGGTGGCCATCAAGCCCTCCTTCATGCCGAACGCGTTGTTGTCAGCCTTCAGCTCAGGAGCGTGGCCGTTGGTGGCGCACGGAGCGCAGGAGACGCAATGCACGTCGGTATTGTAGGTGTCGTGGTTCATGCCCCTCGAGATGGTGCGGTTGTCGCCCTTGGCCGATGCCGAGCACACGACCGTCTCCTCGTCAGCCTACAAGTGCGACTGGATCTTCTCGTCAATCACTTACACGTCCGGAAGCACCCATTCGTAGTCCGCACGGTGCTCAGTAAAGGGGGCCTCGTTCGGGACTCGGGTGTTCGTGTGCCGCGCCTTCTTGCAATCGATCGCCGAGAACTTCCCGTCGGTCTTGGCCCTGACGTCGCTGCAGCCGTAGATGGGATCCGACGAAACGACGTGCGTAGGGACGTCAGGTGTTCCGCATCTCAATCAGCAAGCATGCACCAGCGTGGGCTATTGTACATGTTCTTTATGGCGGCTGAGGGGCCCGCCTGATGCAGTCCAGGAGGAGGAGACGCAGCCATCGGCTTGAAGATGTTGACGCTCGCCTCCTTGGACTTCCTCGCGTGGGTGCGACGCGCCCTCGCTCGTCGAAGCACGAGTGTGGTCGGAGATGTACCCGCGGAGGCCACACTGGGCGGCGGAACATTGCGGGGCCATCGGCAAGGAAGCATTGCTGCTGGGCGGGGGGGCCGTCCTTTCCGCACGGATCGGCCATGGCGCGGCGCGCGCGACGCGGCACCTGCGTCCTCCTGCTGTAGCCGGTGCGGCTAGGGGGAGGAGGAGGAGTGAGGAGGAGGAGGAGAATTAGGAGAAAGAGGAAGAGGAGGAGGAGAAGCTAGGGCCCCTCCCCCTGCTCATTCTCATCCTCCGCCTCGCCAGTGAGTGAACCCCTGCCCTCCTCCTGAGAGGGGGGGGGAGGAGGAGGGGGAGGAAGAGGGGGAGGAGGTGAGGCGGAGCGGGGGGAAGGAGAAGGGAAGGCCCCCACGCCTCCCCCCCTGTCAACGGTGGCTTTCGGCGCTACGACAGGCACGAGCCGCGACAAGCACCACAGGAGCCCCCTCGTCGCCACACGACGGGGGGCCGCGGGAAGGCGGCGGCAGGGAGCTGGGCAGCCGCGGGTGGAGGAGGGCGCGCGAGAAAGCCGCCCCAGAGCGCGCGCCGCCGCTCCTCGGCTGGGCCGGTGGGCGGGCAGCCCAGGGCGTGGCGTGCCCCGGCACCACAGGGACGGGGCCCTGAGGCACGCACAGGCCTCCGACGGTGTGATGTTCTCGATCTGGGCGTGTCTCCTTCCGCCTGCCCGTGAAGAAGTCCATGCACGACGATCGCCTGGTCGCCTGGGTGCCGGAGGCACGGGCCTCGATCTTCCCCCCGAGTTCTAGGTTGGCACGGTCTTCGGGCCGATCGCGAGCAGCGTAGCTCCTTTCTCTCGGCCCTCGGGTGCCGTTTTCCGCCCGCGGGGCGATCAGAAGTGGGTCGGGGGACGAAAGACTGCCCTGGGGGAAGTGGTCCGGACCTCTGAGGCAGCGGATTGGAAAAAACAGATCGGCGGATGTCTCGGTGGGGCCCTAGGACGAGGAGGACTTGAACAATGCAAATTAAACCTGGAAGCCATTTTCTATCCTTGGTGCCCAATCGCCCCAGAGCCCCATCTTCGAATCCCAGAATGTCCCCTCCTTGTCCTGCCGCGAGACTGAAGGGGAATGTTCTCAGGGAGCCGGCCCGGGGGGGAGGGAGCATCGAGCTGGAATCTGCGATGCATCACCGATTGATCGCCGATAGGCCCCCGATGGCGAAACCGAGCGTTCCTGAGCGGGGTGGACCATCGGGCCCCTATCGGCGATGACTTGGCGATTGGGGGTCGATGCATTCTCCCCTGAGCCTATCCCCGCCTAACGTTGCGCCTGAGAGACGGCTCAGCGCGCCCTCTGGTCGCCTCTGACCCCATCCCTTGCCTACCGCGCGCACGGCTCCTCGCAACCAAGGCAGGACCAGCCAACACCGAATCTGGCCGCCCCGTCACGGAATCGAAAGCGAAATCGCATCGGATACTCGGCGACGCTGTTCGAGCATCGGGCCGACTCGGATCGGGCCGGCCAAAAACGATATCGAATCGCATCGATCGGAACGTAATGAACCCCGTCCTGGTCCCTCCGCGTTGGGGCGACTCGCTGCATCTTGTAAGAAGGGCTTTAAAAACGGAGCTCTTGGGGACTGTCGGCATGTACATCTAAATTGCAGTCGGGAAAGGAGGATCGGAGACCAGGGTTATCAAAAAGACGGCCCGCGACGGACACACTGCGCTGGGGATGGGGTCGATAGCTCGGGGGAGCAACGTTACTAAAGTCTCTCATCCTTCTGCCCCCGCTCTTACCTCAATCCTCTGTCCGCCCCGCAAAATATCCATCCTTCTCCCAACCATCTTCCTCCTCCCCCTGCTCCTCCTCATCCTCCTCCTCGTGGGCTGACGCATGTTCATTGGCGTATGCGTACCTATATGCAGAATCAGACTCGGCCCCGCACTCATACTGACACGCATCAACGTAATCACAATCATGAGCCTGAGCATGGTCATGATGCTACGCATACGCCAATACTTGCGCGTACGCGTACACACACGCATGCGCATAGTCGTATTGTGCCACAGTTACGACCATATTCACACTCACGCGCACTCTCGCTCGTAGAAATACGCCTACACGCACGCATGATCACAATCCTGACCACTATCGCACGCACTAGCATACGTATGCATCTCCTCGTCAACCGCTTTCTCCTCAACCCCATGTCTCCCAGAGAACCCATTGTGGGAGGGCTCGAGCAACCTTGAAATACTTGCCGTAGTTGCTCCAGAACTGGTCGTATTTGCTCCGCTGCTTCTCCCTCATGTCGTCGATCGAATCCAGCACCTGCAATGCGTTCGATGATGCGCACCCAACACCCGTGCGGAACCCCACCCTGAATCCGTACCGAACCTCAACATCCATAACCATGACATTTGGCGTTCCGCCCGCCCAACACCCCCTACCCCCCCCCCCTCATGTCAAGAAACTTCACATTCAACGCCGTGGCTCTTCTTACGCCCAGGGCGTGTTTTGTTACCGTTGCTTTAGCTCGGCGTGCTGGAAAACATGTTGTGTTGCGGCTGTCGGGTCCCAACAAACAAACCAAAAACTCAAAAACGGAACGGCTTGTTTCTGCTACGTTGTTCAGCGTTTTCAAATCACCCAGTTGCATTGTTTAACATTGCCATCTACGACGTCCTCAGTTCCTCGTCCTGGCGCGCAGTCTTTCCTATATTCATATTCTATTATGAATGTGTCTTTTGCACTGCTATTGTCCTCGCTGCTGGCTAGGGCGTCGGGCTTCCGGGCCCGATGGCCCATTGTCCCTGCTGGGGCCATCGGGCCTCCGGGCATGTTTCGGGCTGGTGTCAAGCCGGTGCTATAGCGTTTGATAATAGCGCCTTTAGCTCTGAGAGGGAGAATGGCGGCAAAACCGAAGAAGCGGGAGTGAAGACAGCAGGGAAGACAAGGAACAGCCTTCGACCAGAAAGGGGGGGCAATAAAAATGAGGATGATCGACAACGATAAGCCTAAACATGCTAAGACTCCTCCTCCTCCTCCTGCTACTCCTCCTCCTGATCCGCCCTTCTGGTGACCGTCCTCCTCCCCGCCCCGTCCACCGTCCGCCTCCTCAGGAGGAACGGGGGAAGTGTACGGACCAACACGATGACCTGCAAGGTGAGAGGGGGGGAAAGACTCCAAGGGGGGACATCGAGCTGGGATCGGCGATACATCGCCGTGAAATCGGCGATCGGCCCCGGTCAGCGAATCCGCACGTTCCCTGGCGGGTGGGCTATGGGGCCCCTCTCGGCGGTGAATGGGCCACTGAGGGCCAATACGTCACCCCTGAGCCTGTCCCCCCGTAAGGTTTCCTCTGAAAGAAGGAGAAGAGGAGGAAGCGGAGGAGGAGATGGAGGAGGAGGAGGAGGAGGAGGAGGAGGAGGAGGAACAGGAGGAGAAGGAGAAGTACAGGATAAGAAGGACGAAATAATAATAATAAGAAGAAGAAGAAGAAGAAAAAGAAGAAGGAAGAGGAGGGGGATCACCAGTGCAATAACGAAGCGGGTGCGCGCGCCTTCCGCACGAGGCGCTTCCGGATGATCTTCAGCGTCCTCCCGCATCCCCAGCACCGCGGGCAGATCGACGCGTCCGAGAAGGGAGGAGAGGAGGCAGGGATGGATGTTCCCATGGAGTCCTACACGCGCTGCAGTCTAGGCAGCAAGGGAAGGAGGAAGAAAGGGGGAGAGCCAGGAGAGAGGAGGGAGGAGGGGGGGGAGGGGGGAAGGGAGAGAGGGAGGTAGGGAAGGGGAGGTGGAGGCAGTACAGGAGAGGGAACGGGGAGGAAGGAGGGAGGGACTGGACAACCCAACCTTGCTCCACCCGCCGCGCAGAACGCGCGCTTTGTCTCCGCGCCCTCGCGCCGCCCCCTCCATGGAGAAGAGCGCCTCGTCTGGCCCCTGCCGCGACGCGCGGTTGCCGTCGCAGCCGTGTGGGGTGAGCCAGGAGCCGGGAAGCGAGGGGGGAGGGAAAGGGGGGGGGGGAAGGGCGAGAGGGAGGGGGGCAAGCTGGGCGCGCCCGCGCCATATCTGACATCCTGCGCTTCCCACCCATCCCTTCCCATTGCGCTGACTGTTTCTCTATCTGCAGACGCGTGGGATATCGGACCTGGGACGCCATGAACGAACCCATCTTGTTTCGCGCAGCCGGACAGGGGGAGCTGAGCGGGAGGAGAAAGAGGAGGAAGAATCAGGACGATGACGAAGACAGGAGGGGAAAGGAGAGGGGGCGGCAATGATGGATACAGGTAATGGCCCGCGCTGGGGCGACAGCGCCAGTCTGAACGAGTAGATCAAAGCGACAGTCCGAAAATGAAGCCCACGTTGCAAAAGAAACATCATTTTGAAACACCGGCCATGGTTGCCGCCAAATCCACCCTAAAAAAGCAATGCGCGGAGAGGCCGGGACACCCTTTGGGCAGAGTCAGGGCAGAGAGGAATAGTGTTCATAATGTGCAACTGTCGAAGGGAATAGCGAGGAGGGAGAAGAGGAAAGAGGTCGGGTAATAGAGAAAGGGCACCAGTGGCATTCAGCAGTTGTGGCTGCAGCAGCTGTGACGCCACGCGCTGTTTTCACACAGGGCTTCAGTATCTGCAAATTTGATATAGTGGGGGGCACGTAGTACAGATGCGCGGCACAGCTGCAAAGGGCATCGGCAGGCCACGCTGACGTGATCCGAAAGGGCGCGGGCCAAAACCGAAGGATGCAAGGACACCCCAACACACCCCCATCCTTGCCGAATTGACGCCTGGGTCAACTGCAAGGCCATCGCAAGGGTGCACGGGTAAGTACGTACCCTTGGAGGTCGCGCGTCCCCGAGGACAAGGCGCCGACCCTAAAGGGCGTCCGTGGGCGGTGCGCACTTCGGCGGCATGGACGCCCAAGGGCGCCCTGGGGTGCCCTGCCTGGCCCGCGCCCTCCAGCGTTGCTCCCCAGATGCGCGACGGTGCGCATAGTGCGGCGGCAAGGATCCGCCAGGGCGCCCTTCCTGACCCGAAGCCGTAGCGACGCCCCCAAGGTGCGCGACGCGGCGCAGATTGTCACGCGCTGGCCAGCGGAAGTTGCCAAGGATGGCCCGACGGGCCAAGGGGCCAAGGACGCAACGGTAACCTTGAAAGGGTGCTCATCCCCTGCGGAGGGGCCCTGCTGGTGGACTGGCGCCGGCGGTTGGGGCGCCGCCTAGCCCAGCGGTCTCCAGGGCGGTCACGGCCTGGCAGATGGCAGCGTCGGTCAGCGTGCCAGCGCGTCGGTGCCCATCGAGGATCAGGTCTGCCGGCATGATGGGCACAAGGTCTGTCTCTGGGTCGGCGTGCTCCCACCATATGGCTCGCAGGACATCTTTTGGCTGGGTTGGAGCATCGATGGCGGCTTCGGGATTGGGGGGCGGTGGGCCCCGTCTGGCGCGCCCAAGTCGAGCGAAGCCAGGGCTAGCCTTGGCCGACCGCCCGTGGCGCTGCCCCCGCGGTGCGTGCGGTCTTTCGCCTGAGCCGACCTCGGTGGTGCTGGTCTGGGAGTCGCTGGGCTGCGCGTCCGCTGCCTGGCCTACGCTGCCGCGGCTGCGCGCTCGACGAGGCCCGCTCGCCCCTGGTCCTTACTATGCGCCCTGACTGTACTTGCTTGTCGAAGCGGGACGCGTCCAGGTGTCTCGAAATGGTTTCCCCGCTGCAGCGCTGGTCTCATTTCAGGATCAGCGCTTGCCCCAGTCATTCAAAATGGCGAAATCGCTCCAGCGCTGGCCACTTTTCTGGATCCGATTCATTCCTCGTCGGCGTCGCCCCCCCTCCTTTCCCCTCCTCCTCCTCCTTCCCCTGGCCCTCCTGCTCCAGCGCATGCTGCTAATCAGCATCCTCATCCGCCTAAACATTCCTCATCCTCCTTATCCTCCTGCTCATCCTCCTGCTCATCCGCCGCCTCCTCCTCCCCTCCCCCAATGTGCACAGCCCCCGCTTTCTGATTACGCATCACACGATGCGGTCACCTGGGGGGGATCCAGGTCCACCAGGACAACCGTCGGCGGATAGAGAAAAATTAGCGCGACGGGGAGGGACGGGTTGGAGGGGTAAGACGCCAGATATAGCGCGCGCGTGCCCAGCTTGCCCCCGTCCCTCTCCCCCTCATGCGCCCCCCCTTCCTCTACCCAAAATGCCGCCCCCTCCTTCCCAGACACATGAAAACATAGATCCAAAGATTGTGCAAACATCCCCGAGAACCATAGGGTCAATACCGTCTCATTCGGCGATGGGGTGCGCCGATTTCGGATGGAAGCGGCGTCCGCCGCTAATCCACACTCCTGAATCAATATGTTCATCTCCTCCACACCCAAAGATCACACAAACACACCGCCACAACACGGCACAAGGGCACCGTACGGCACGCAGGCATGGCACGGCACGCGGGCGCGGCGCAAGCACGACACGCCACGCCACGGCACGCGGGCGGCACCTGCTTCGCCTTGTAGGACGCGGGCACGGCACGGCACATCAGGGCACCCGGGCAGCACATGCTACGCACTCTACCACGCGGGCACGGCACGGTACGCGGGTCCTGCACGCGGGCACGGCACGGCACGGCACGCGGGCGGCACATGTCTCGCCTTGTAGAGCGCGGGCACGGCACGGCGCGCGGGCAAAGCACAGCACAGCACAGCACGCGGGCGGCACTCTTTGCGGCATCCAGGGCGGGGTCACGGCTTCAAATGCGCGCGCGCGACACGGCACGGGATGCCACGGCACGCGGGCGTCACACCCTGTACATTCTAGAATGCGGGCGCGGCACGGCACGCAAGCACGGCAAACAATGAGGACTCCCAGAGGACCCCCCCCACCATCCCTCACCACAAAAACAATACAAGGTACACTTTGGGGCAAAGTCTGGAGCCATCTTCGGGAGGCCCGCGAGCACTTTGGAGTGTTTGTTGACAGGGGCGGCGGTCGTGTCAGCATATTGCCTGCTGTGCGCAGGGCTACCATCCCTGAGAACAAGAACTATACCAAATGCACCTCGCGGCTAAATCTGGATCATGCGAGGCCACCCCGCGAGCACTGTCAAGCGGTTTTTGATATGGCCTCCTGCGCGCAGGCCCATCAGACACAATGATGGGCATTGGTTTTCAACAAGGATGGCGGGGGCCGACTTTTTTGCCGATGTGTACTGTCACGTTTGCAGGCGCACCTGACATACTCTGCACGTGCCCCGAACGTGGCGCACCTGGCGCGGCTGGAGTATGCAGCACACCTGGCGCACACGGAGGAACGTGGCATATCTGGCGCACCAGGCGTGCCTGGCACGCTCGGGCCCCAGGGGTGCCTGGCGCGCGTGGCGCGCATGGCACGCGTGGCGCACTTCGCCCCAGCGTCGCGCACATGGGCTCGGTTTTGGTTCTCAGTAGCTGCACATCCAAAGACGACCGCTGAACATGCTGAGGCTCGGGTGTTACTTGTGTGTTGGGAGGGCGGGTGGGAGTGAGCTAGACGGCTTGCTATCTAGGAGGGTGTCTTGATCATCCCCCCCACCCCGCCGCCTTGTCTGGATCTCCTGAGCCGCCACTGTCCGACCCCCCCACCGTCCCCCGACCTGCTCTTCTGCAGGATCTCTCGGCCCACGTTCAGGGGCAGGTCCTCAGAGTCGACGACGCCTGCCAACAGGGGGGCGCGCCCGCGTCAAACAGGCGGCAGAGCGAAGGGACTTCCGACCACGATCGAACCCAGTGCAGATCACACCCAGTGCACGGAGTGAAGTGGCCCTCGGGCCTTCTCATTCGAACCAGCCATTTCCGCGCGCAGACGGCGGCACTTCCTTCTATGGTCCGCATAACGTTCGGTAATGCCAGCGTGTGCTTGTCCACAGGTGCCCCGACTGTGTGCAGTCGAAACGTGGCCCGAAGGACTGCTGGGGGGGCAAGGCGTGCCGAGGAGGGGGTGGCCCTCCTCCTCCATTTACAGTGTACAGTAGACACGTTTCCACCGCAACGCTGTGACGTCCAAGCGAAGCAGAGAGAAAAGCACCATGCAACGGCAACATCCACGCGGGTAGTCGTGCAAAAGCCAGAAGGAAAAGGAGAGACGCCCAGAGCGGCGTCAAGAGGCCTTCTCCACCTCCTCCTACTCATCCTCATCCTTCTCTTCCTCCTCCGTCCGTCCCGTACACGCAATTCCTCATCATGCTCCTCCACTTTCTCATCCTCGTTCTTCTCGACCCTATGGAGAATTTTGGGTCACCCGCAACGCCCTGGAACCTTTTACGAAAATCCTCCCCCCGCGGCCCGAAAAGGACTCCAAATCCGTCACGATGTTTGTCGCATGAGGGAGACTGATGAAGTGGAACACCCTGGGGGAAATGGGATAGATGCAGGGGGAAATGATAATATTGCTGTCGATGACCTCCGCAGCGATGGAGAGGAACATGAATACCAAGGTGCCTCAACTACGCCCATATGGGGAAGCGCGCTCTGGAGATTACATCTACGAAGCATCCAGCGTCGAAGCCGGCAATGGAGTGAGGGAAGTTCAAACCGCCGAGGGCGGCATTGGCGTACAGAGGGGATGCGGCCGCAAGAACACCCCGCAAAGAAACCAGCCCTGAAAATCCAAAAAAGCGTCTTGCCCAGAGCCTGGGTGTCCTGGCCAAGCGCTCCAATCGGAGAAACCCAAGGTACCATGGCCCGAGAAATCCCTCCCAGAGCATGAAAAGGAAACGTGCGTGGTGCGGTTGGGGGAGGCAAGCAATTTCTTACGGATGGGGGAAGTCACAGCGCATCGCCAGGAACGAAGAAACCCAGGGCGGCCCGACGAAAACCATACGGTTTCGTGGCGCGCGTCCCCACTGCAGAAGAAGCACAGGCAATGCATCCACAGTGAGCCCAGCCCCTTGATCCGCCGAGAGACGGGGGGCCAGGCGCCCGCTGTGCTACGATGCGCTTGAGGAGAGATGGGAGCGGTCGCAACCTCTCGCGGTAGGGCCGTCGGGAAGAGGCGGGGGCAGAGCCAGTCGGGCGCTTCCGCCACCTACTCGGTGTTCGGCGCCGTGGAGGCTGGCCGACCCCTCGGCGCGGACGCGGCTCGTGGTGGCCACGCGGACCCAGCCGCGCGAACGCAGCTTGTCCCACTCAGTGTCGACTCGCTCGGAATCGTCGAGATCGGCCTCGATAGCTCATGGATGTGCAACTTCTCTCGGGTGGTGGACAGATAGCGCTTCAGCCAAACACCCCTGCGGCTGCAACGCCTTCCCGAGGACCGAACATTGGCAACTCGCTGGGGAGGATTCGTGTCGTGACGACTTTGGCGTGGGTTTCGAGCACCGAGTGGATCGTACAATCTTGGACGATCGGCGGCTTTTCCGATCGACAAACCATTCAATATTAGACGATTCTGGGCCACTGGCGGCGTTCAGCCAGGAACGCCCGCGGCGAGGTCGCCACCGCGTCGATACGGCGCAAACCTGCCGCGGCCGCGCTCGACTAGGCAGGATCGGGGTGTCATCAACCTTTAACGTTTTGTTTCTTCGGCCCACTGCTTCCATGAGGGGGAACGTTCGCGGGGGAACACCCGACCCTCCCCACCAACCGTCGATTTTCTTGAATCGATAGGAGGCGGGGGTAGGGTTCGAAGTTCGCCACGTGTGCGACGAATTCTCGACCCTACCCCCTCCGCCCATCGAGTTGCCCGAATCGTTGATCGGAGAGGGTAGGGTTCGGACTTCGCCGCCAGGGGGAGGAGGGGGGGGGGGAACATCGACTTGAAACCGCCGATACATCGGCGACGGGCCCCCGATAGCGAATCCGCACGCTCCCGGACGGGGTGGGGCTATCGGGCCCCAGTCGGCGATCAATGGGCGATTGGGGGTCGATGCGTCCCCCCTGAGCCTCTCCCCCCCAAGCGTTGCCCCTGAGACGTGGCAGGGTCGGGGTTCTATCAACCGCCGACGCGTTCTGTTTCTTCTGCTCCCTGCCCCCAGCTCCCAGCTCCCCTCGGGTGCTCGCTAACGGGGAACAATGATAAAAGTTGGGTGAAGAAACGTGCGCCTTTCGTACACATCATGGGCCGGTGGTGGCAATTTGGGGACAGCTTGGGGTCCCTGAGGGCCACTTTCCTGCAGTCCTCGATCCCTCCCAACTGTATTGCTTCTTGCCAATGCCGTCCGCCCAATCCCCGGCCCACCTTCCGTGGCAACTCATGGGACCCCCCCATGCCGTCTTGCTGGCTCTTGCAAATCGACGCCAAGTCGACGCTACTTGACGCTGAATCGGCGCATCCTCATCGACCACCAGACGCTAGCGCACGCTCACGCACGCTGAAGACGGAATTTCGAGAACATACAAAACTTCCATGAATTGCTACCGAACCTGGGGGAACCTAGAGGTACCGATACCGCTACTCCGCGGACCTCTCCAGGCGCGCGTTCTGACGAGGATTTCGGGGCGAATCCAGCGGTGGAGACGAGGGCTCCCCCGAGGCCCAAAAAGCCGAAAGCGAGGCCAGCGTAGTGATGTTGGTACCTGTTCCCATCCCCCTCCTCACAAGGCCCAGCGCTGTGCCGCGGCGCCTCGCACGAACGTCAGCCAGCGGGGGATCAGGTCCTCGCGGGGCCGGCGGGCGCCGCGGGAGGGCAGCGCAGGAGGTGGGAGGTGGGGGGAGCCGGCAGGCCGGGAACCACGAGCGGTGAACGTATCTGCAGAAGGGCTGCTGAAGTGAGGGACGCTAGATGAAGAGCGAAGTCCCTTTCTGGCGCCAACAGCCTCTGGGTGCACGAGGAGGGCTAGATCTAGGAGCAATCACAGAATGACCTGAGGAACAGCGAGCCCCTTCCGAACCCAAAGCGGTCCTTGTTCCACTTGTCGCTGTCTTGACTGTAGGTCACCCAACTTCGCGCCCCCGCGCTGTGATAGGTGTCCTTTGATAGGTTTAGCATATTGATCTTTCTTGTATAGCCCAGCATTCCAGCTCACGGGGCAGCCAGGATTGTCCGCTATGACACTCAGGGAAGGTTGTACTGTACTTCGTCGTTCTGGCTCAAGGCCAAAAGTACATCTGTTCATCCTGCTGCTGCCACAGTTGGTAGCGGAGCAGTGTTCGGCGCGGCCGGCATGGGCGCTCCTAGGCACCGCTAGGCAGCGGTGGTGCCAGGAGCAGCTCGGGCTGCTGCGCGAGCGCTGCTCTCATCAAATTGGACAGAGCGCGGATCCACGGCAAGAGTATGCCAGCAGACGACGAAGACGGCAGCAAGAACTACGCTGTGATCGATCCAGGGGGCACGCAGCAGTCGGGGACGACTGCAGGCGGCAGCGCCCCAGCTACCGGAGCTCAGGCTTCGGGCTCAGGCGGCCAGCTGCCAGATCAGCTCAAGGAGTTGGTGCAGCAGCTCGTGCAGGAGGCGCTGGGTCCGAGACAGGGCGGCGGAGCTGGAGGCGCAGATGATCGAAGCAGCGGGCGCCCCAGCGGCGATCCAAGCGGGCGAGACAGCTCCCGAGGCCAGGACCCGTGGAGCGACGCCGGCCGGGACCCCTGGAGGCGTGGAGAGCAGCCGGAGTCCAAGGACGGCGGGAGAGATCAGTCGGATCAGCAGCAGCAGGAGTCGAACTGGAAGAACACCGACTGGAAGGACAACTCCAACTGGAAGGACTCCGGCTGGCAAGGCTCCGGCTGGGCCGACGGCGGCGGGTGGTCGAAGGGGGACTACTCGGACCCGCCCGCATGGCCCGGCTGGGGGCACTACCGTTTGTGGAAGAAGGCCATGCAGCGCTGGAATCGGAACACAGATGTGCAGCTGTGGCGGCGCTCCGAGCGCTTCCTCAAGCTGTTTGACTGGGCGATGCAGGCCAAGTTTGAAGACATCAGCGAGGGCGTCCTGTGCAGCCAGCAGTGGTTGGACACCCTCCTGACCAGGATGGACATCATGAGTGGTGAGCGCGAGGGTGACGACATGCGACGGGCAGGTCGTCGAGCTCTATTCGAGTGCACCCGCGGCGCCAAGGAGAGCCTCACACAGTTCGTGGCCAGGAGGGAGCAGCAGATGCAGGAGGCCGAGGGTCACGACATCTGGATGTCCAACCGGATGAAGGGTTTCATGCTCGAGGAGGGCGCCGGTTTGGGCGCTCAGGGCCAGCAGAACCTTCGAGCGCTGACGAAGGGCAGCCTCGAGTACAGTGACGTTGCCTGGGCTCTCAGGCAACTTGACTACGGCAGTGGCGAGAAGCTGCTGCCCGGCGGCAGCTCGTCCCATCCCGTCCTGGCCGCAGAAGACGGCCTGGGCGACGGATCCAGTTCCCCTCCTCCTCCTCCCTCCCAGGCCTATCCTGCCCTGGGCTCCGGGACTGCGAAGCAAGACGACGAGTCGTACTACGACGAGTCAGAGGAGGGACCAGAGGAGGAAGACGACGAGCTGTCGGAGTCGGACGTCATGGCCATTTTGGCAGAGATCGAAGACCTCGACCTCGAGGAGGACGAGGCCACAGAGGCGTTCATCCAGATGACCGGCAAGGTTCAGCGCCGGTCCTGGAAGCAGAACAAAGACCTCAAGCGGGCCGCCAAGCAGGACCGCGAGTTCTACGGAGCCAGGCAGCCACGCGGAGGCGACGACGGACACCGAGGAGGCCGCGGAGGTGCCCGGGGCAAGGGACGCGGACGAGGTCGCGGAGACCGACAGCGAGGACACGACGGCAGCTCAGGCACCAACCCGCGGATCCTTCGACTGATGAAGGTGACCCGTTGCAAGAACTGCAAGGAGAAGGGCCACTGGGCCCGGGAGTGTCCCAATCCCCGGAAAGAGGATGATTCTAGGCGCTCGGATCGACCTCGCCGAGGCATGACGGGCTATACCTTCGACGGGTGCAGCTTCCCCATTCTGAGCTCCGACGTGATCGAGAGGCTGAGGAACCTGCAGGCGGAGGTCGAGTCCAGCGACGTCTACCTGAACGCCGCCGTGACTCAGGGCCTGGTGGACCCGGGCGCGGGGAGCGACATCGTGGGGCTGCCTTCGCTCAATCGTGAGTCAGAGGCACTTGCCAAGTACGGCCTACGTTACGTGGTGGTGTCCAGCGAGTTCAAGGCACCCAAGAAGGCCCACGGCATCGGAGGCGAGGCGAAGGTCCTCTGCACCATCCTGTATCCGTTGTGTCTTGGAGGAGTGATGGGCGTGGTGGAGACCACCGTTTTGAACGAGGACGTGCCGCATATCCTGAGCGTGAACTTGCTAGACTTCCTCGGCTGTGTCTTGGATTTGCCGCGCAATCTTCTGATCTCGCAGTATCTGTCACAGGATATCCCGGTCACCAAGCTCGGATCGGGCCATCGCATGGCAGACATAGTGCGAGAGACACGCGGCAGCCACGAGGCTCCCGAGAGTGCGCTTCAGAAGTATCCTTTTCTGACAGCATCTTCCTTCAGATTGCGGGCTGGCCAGGCACCGCCTATGATGAGTGCCAGCGGAGAGGTGACTGAGTACATCATCGTACCCATCCTCGTCATCACCATCCCCGGTCACCTCGAGTCCGTGCAGGCATCGATCGGGCTCGAGCTTAACCGCACGAACGGGTCACTAGCTCAGCGGGCCAGATTAGAACGGGTTAGGGCCTCGGGATCCCCTCAGAACACTAAGGACGAGAAGATGATCAGCCAAAACAAGGTCACGCGCAAGATCAGAGAGACCGGAGACCCCGACTCCATCAAGAACGGCACCGGAGCTCTCGAACCCATCGCGAGGATGTGCCGTAGTGCCTCGGCCGGCCTCAGGAGGAGTCTCGGAACCCTCGATCCCATCGTCAGCAGTGCTACGTCGCACCTCAGAGCCCTCGGCCTCAAGATGGCCAAAGGTCTGATGCAGCTCCTCTGTCTTTCCGTAGCGACTTTGGGCTCGAGCTTGTACCAGCGAATCGCTCCAGCTTTCGACCCATCTCAGTTCAGAACTCGTATTCACAGTTCCAGTGATGCTCGCGCCGTGCGCGGCGATCATTCTCGCTCTGGCCGTGCAGGCCACAGCGGGCGGCAAGAAGAACCAGAAGAAGCCCGGCGCCAAGAAACTCACCGAAGAATTACTGGCACGGCGCCAGGCCAACGGTCAGGACTCGGACGTATCCTCGGAGGCGTTCGACGGCTCAGCATTCTCAGTCGGGCAGAGCTTCGAGCCCGGCGCGGCAGCCGCGGCAGTCAGCGGCGACGTGCAGATGGCTCCTCAGCCACAGCAGGGAGCCGGCAGTGGTGGCGGTCAGGGCCAGACTCAGCAGACGGTACCGACGATGGCTGCACTCAGTCAGCAGCAGATGCTGGAGCAGTTTCAGCAATTGTCGAACCCGATGGGACTGGGTCCTGGGCAAGCTATGGCGATCCCGACGGCAGCTACCGCGACAGCGCCACCAGCGACAGGACCGACTCCACCGAAGCCCCAGCCGTCGCTGTGGGGAGCTGCAGCTGCGGCGTCTCAGTGGCCACCCCCGACACCGATCCAGGGATCGGCGCAGCCGACGATGAGCCAGGCGATCTACGCTCTGGCCTCGGCGGGAGCCGAGCAGCGAGGGCAGCCCCCGCTGCCAGCGGGTCCGCCTCCACCAGAGGCGGCAGCAGCGGCGGCACCGACACCCCCAGCCGGGGTGTTGACGGGACCGGCAGCCACCAAGCCGCCACCCAAGGCGCCGCCGTATTGCAGTCACCCGGCCAGCGCCATCCGCTACTACGGGAATCAGCACGGCTCTGGCTCTCGGTGTATGATGTGCGGCCAGAGAATCGCGTGGGTCCCGGGCGGCAACCGCGTCGGGCAGGACGGCCAGGCGGCGCCCACAGCAGCCGAGGCGGCCAGGGCAGCAGCATCGTCCGCACAGAAGGCTGTCGACCTTCTCCAGAACGATCCCCAGTTCCGAGCCGGAGGGGCGGCGTTGACAACAGTGAATCAACTGTCTGGCTTGTTACAGGGCCTGCAGTGGCAGCTGGAGTCGATACCCGAAGGGGTACGTGCCCTCAGGAACGTGCAGAGCGTCGTCGATCAGATGATCCAGGTTGCGACGCAGACTGCGCAGTTTCCCAATCAGGTGGAGGAGGGGCTGCCGCAACTGTTTCAAGGCATGACGGCAATCAAGCGCCAGCTGCTCGGGCTGGAGGACTTCGGAGTGGCGATCGACACTCTTCAGGAATCGGTCAACACGATGGCCGGGACGCTCTCGGGGATGGAGACCGCGATCGGGCAGATCGGGTTCATGCTCGTGAACGTCGGCACGGCAGTATCGGCGATAGCCCACGCGATCAACAACGGCCAGCAGGTCGAGGCGCAGTGGGACGCGGTGAGGATGCAGCAGGCGGCAGCGGCAGCGGCGGCCAGCCAGGCGGCGGGCTCAGGCGCGGGGCAGGCAGCGAGCTCAGCCTCGGGGCATCCGGAGCACTTCGGAGCAGTCCAGCAGCCTCCGCCGCCTCAGGCGACCTTCGGGACGGAGCCGGACCTTCCAGCCCAGATGCCGCCGACGCCGACTCAGAACCACGAGATCGATCAGGGCGGCGACCCGTGGCACACGACTACTACCACCACCACCGAGCAGACGGCCACGACTACGCCGACGTCGAACCTGGCTCCGATCCCGGAGCAGGGCCTCGAGTC